CTTAGTTGCGCACCTAATATTTATATTTTCAGTGGGCCATTTAAAAAGATTAACCAGAGACATAGCGACAATTAAATATGATATTAGACAAAATCTTACCTTTGTGGACATTTTAGTTAAAGCAAATGCGAAAATGGAAGCCCAGAACACAACGTTTCCTTTTGAGGATGCTGGAAATCTATTTCCATTACAAACTGTACTCCAATTAACAGAAGTTGAGACTATTTTAAAAGACCGTAATTCCCAACATAATGCTGAAATAGTAAGTTGTATGTATGTATGTATGTATTTATTCTCCCCTAAGGGTTCGAAGGCGCTTTTGCAGGGAGCGTTCCCCAATCCTTTACAACTCCTCCTTACAATTATTCGCTTCCCTTACTCTTTATTTTTCTGGTCCTGGGGGAGAACTCGCGTCCCGCTTGCCGCTCGTCCCCCCCTTGACACACACACACACCTCTCCCCTCTCCTAGACTTCCGTTTCCTTGGCCTTTCAATTAACATTCTTTTCCAATTCTTTGTCTACCTCCTCTCCGCCCTTACCCCCCTCATCCCCACCCCTCTCCCTCTCCAATTCTCTCATCCACCTCTCTCCCTCTCCCTCCTCTCCCAATATCCTCCTTACTTCCTCTTTCCAACTCTTTTCACTTCCATTTTCCCATCTCCTACATTCCTCCCATACATGCTCCCATGTTTCCTCTTCCCTCTCACACAACCTATACCTCCTTTCCTCCTCCTTCCTCCAATACTGCCCTCCTCTCATCTCATTTCCCAATCTGAACCTCGCCATCCTTTTCCACCTACTTTCTCCCCACCCCTTCTTCAAGTACTGCGGTATCCCTTCTCCTTCCACATATTCATACCACCTATTGTACCTTGACTCTCTTATCTTCTCCCCCCTCTCTCTTCTTCCTAGCTCCTCTCCCTTTTCTCTTATTTCTGTCACCAATGTCTCTCCCTCTTCTCTCCTTTTTCTTACCTCCTTCATGTCCCCTCCCCTTTCCTTGAAGAATTTTATCCTCCCCACCTCCCAACTCGTCAATCTCTCCCCCTTCTCCTCTCTCCTCTTTATCTCCTCTAGACATTTCCTCGCAATTTCGCTCCCCCTTCCCTCCTCCAGCCTTCTCTCCCATTTCCATGCCCTTAACCCCGTTCTCTCTCTTAACTTCTCTCTCTTCAATTCCTCCCTTACCATGTATCCTGGCATTTCTCTCTTTACTCCTAGTATCCATCTCATGTATCTTTCCTGGCTTCTCTCTATCTCTTCCCTCTCCTCCCACCCCCATATTTCCACCCCATACCCTATCACCGTCCATACTAAACTATCATATAACCATATTCTTTTCCCCCATTCTCTCTCAAACCTTCTTTTCCCTATTCCCCATACCTGTCCCATCACCGTCATTCCTATCTTTATTCTTTCCTTTATATGCTTCTCCTGTCCCCCTGCATCACGTATCCTAAATATTTATATTCCTTCACTTCTTCCAATTCCTTTCCTTTCCATCTCCATTTCATCTTTCTCTCTCTACCCCCTCCCTTCCTAAATCTCATCACTTTCGTTTCCCCTATATTCACCTCCATCCCTTTCCTTTCCATATATCTTTCCAATCTCGCTATCATTGCCTTCATCCCCTCCTCCTCCTCCGCCATTATCACCACGTCATCTGCATATGCCAATGAATATATTTTCTCTTCTCCTATCTTTACTCCTCCCCACCTCCCTTTTTTTAATTCCTCTTCCATATCCGCCATTAACAAATTAAACATCCCTGGACTTAGTGGGCACCCCTGCCTCACTCCCCTTCCCGTCCAGAACCCCTCTCCTAGCTCCTCTCCCACCCTTACCCTGCTTATCGTCTCTTCCATCACCTCCTCACATCTCTCCACCCATCCTTTCCTCACCCCTCTTTCCCTCATCGCCCTTATCAACTCTCTTCTTTCCACCGTATCGAATGCTGCTTTCAGATCCACAAATAACGCCACCAGCTTACCCCCCTTCCTTCCTAATTGTCTATTTATCACATAATTCATCACATATATGTTGTCTATAACTCCCAACCCTTTCCTGAACCCCGTCTGATTTTGCGGTATCAACCCTTTCTCCTCCACCTCTTTCCTTAATCTTCCCGCTAATACCGATGCATAAATCTTGTACAACATATTCATTAACGTTACTCCTCTGTACTCTCCCACTACTTTTCCCTCTCCCTTCTTCGCTATCGGTACTACTATTCCTTCCTTCCATTTCTCTGGCCACCCCTCCCCTCTCCATACTCTATTACACATTTCCCTATCCATTCCTCCATCCTCTCTCCTCCATATTTCCACGCTTCATTTGGTATCTCATCCCCTCCTACCGCCTTGTTGTCCTTTAATTTCTTCATTACCTCCTTAATTTCTTCCTTGCTTATTTCCTATTCCTTCTCTCTTTCCTCTTTTCTCTTCCTTCCTCCTATCACTCTTCTCCCCACTCCTCCTAGTAACCCTCTAAAATATTCCTCCCATTCTTTCATTTCAATCTCTTCGTTTCTTCCCTTTCTTCTTTTCCTCTCCCTCCTCATTACTTCCCATATCTTCCCCTCTTTTACTTTTTTATTCACCCATCTCTCCCACCTCTCATTTTCTTCTTTCCTCTTTCCCTCGCATAACCTTTTATATTTTGATTTTTCTTCTCTATATCTCTCTCTATCCACCTCCCCTCTTCTCCATCTCCTCAATTCCCTCCTTACCTTCCTCTTCTCTTCTCTACATTCCTCATCCCACCAACCTTTCCTCCTCTCCTTCTCGCCCTCTTCTTCTTCCCTTACTATTGCTCCCTTTATCCTTTTATTCATTTCCTTGATCTCCTCTTCTACCTTTCCTTCCCCTATTCTCACTTCCCCCAACTCTTCCCTAAATCTTTCTCTAGCCCTTTCAGTCCATACCCCTTTTTCTTTCCTTTTCTTCCCTCCCCCTCTCTTTCCCCTCTCTCTTCCTCCCTCCATCCTTACCGTTATTGGGTGATGATCCGACTCTATATTATCCCCCACTTCAAAACTTTTATCGTGCTCCATCCTTCCTCATTTACTATAACATAATCTATTACCGATTCTCCTCTTCCCCCTGTGTACGTCCATTCCCCTTTCTCATCTCCTTCCTTCCCTCCGTTCACTATCATCCATCCTCTTTCATTTATACACTCTATCAATTCCTTTCCCTCCTTATTTTCCTGCTCGTCTTTCGATTTCCTATTCTCCTCCACCCCCTCTTCATCCTCCCATATTCTCCCCCCTCTCCTTCCTGTCCTTGCGTTAAAATCTCCTCCAATTATCGTTCTTCCTCCTCCCCCTTCCTCTTCCATCCATTCCTTTAATCTTTCCAACCTTTTCCCTAAATCCCCCCTCATATATACTCCTATTATCCTCCATCTTCTTCCTTCTATTATTATATTTCCCACCATCACTCCCTCCATCTCCTCCCTCTCCTCCTCTTCCCCCCTCTCGCTTCTAATTCCTTCCTTATTTCCATTACCATCCCCCCCTTTGCTCTTCCTTTTCTATAAACTCTCTTTGCCGTTTATATTTTCCATGTATATCCCTTCGGTAGCTTCCCCCTTAACCACGCTTGTTCTTTTTCCTCTATCCATGTTTCCATTAACGTTATTACATCCCATTTTTTTATCTCCCTCCAAAACTCCTTATCTTTCTTTTTCAATCCTGCTACATTCCAGAATGTCACCTTTAAATCCCTCTTTCCTTCTTCCCCTCTTTCCTTCCTATTTCCTCCTCTCCCCTCTCCTCTTCTATCTCCGCCTAGTTTCCCTCCTTCCCATTTTCCCTCCCCTTCCCCCTCCCTCTCCACTCCTCTCCCTCTACTGTCAATACTTTCTTTTCCCCTTTTCTATTAATCACCCCCCTCACTTCTTCGTCCCACCTCCACCATTCCTCATTTATTCTTATTTTTCCATACCCTCTCCAAACCCTACTTCCTTTTCCTTCTTCTTCATCCGCTATTCTTCTCATTATCCACCTTGCTCTCCTTTCCTCATATGTCAAATCGTCTTCTATCCATACCTTGCTTCCTTTCAGTTTCTTTTTCCTTTCCATTATCCTGCTTTTTTCCTCCTCACTATTTAATTCCACCACTACTATTTCTCTCTCATCCCCCTTTCCCGTTTTTATCCTCCTTATTCTTTTTCCAATCCCCTCTTTCATTCCTATTTCTTTCAGTATCTTTTCCACCTCCTCTCTTATCTCCCCTTTTCCTATTTCTACCCCCCTCATCACTATATTCCTTCTTCTTTTCTCCCTCTCTCTTTCCTCCTCCCTTCTTTCCAATACTTTCACTCTCTCCTCCATTTCTCCCTTCCTCTCTTCTGCTTCTCTTCTACTCTCCCTTTCCCTCTCTTCCTCCACCTTCTTTACTCTTTCTTCTATCTTTTTTATCATCTCCCCTTCCCCTCCCTTCCCTTCTATCTCTTCCCATTTCCTCTCTAAACTCTCTATCCTATCCCTCATCTCCTGCTTCTCTTTCTCCCATGTTTCCTCTCTCCTCCTCATTTCCTTCCTTAACCCTTCTATTTCCTCTTTTACCTCTTTAAACCCTCCTCTTATTTCCTTCCTCATTTCCTCTAATAAATTCTCCCCTTCCCTCCCCTCCTCTTCCCCTTTTACTGGTGACCTCACTGTCTTCCTACTTTTCATAAATCCCATCTCCTCCTTCTCTCTTTTCCTTTTCCACATCTCCCCTATCATTCCCGTACTCCCTCTTCTCCCTCCCTCCTTCCCCCCCTTTTGCCCTCCATTCCCTTTTCTTCCCTCCCCCTTACTCCTCTCTTCCTTCCCTATTTCCTCCATTCTTATCTTCCCCTTTCTCTCCTTTAAACTTCGCTCCTTTCTCTTCCTCCTTCCTCCTTTCTCCTACAGATGTCGTTCCTTCTCCTTCTTGCCTCTCTTCTATCTGCTCCTATACTCCTTGCCCGTATCCTTTCTCTTATTTTCTCCCCTCTATAAACTTTCTTTCCCTGCTCTTCTCTAGCCGTCCCTAACCTCACTCTCTCACCCGTATCTTTCACCCCCTTTCCACTCTCTCTCTCTCTCTCTCTCTCTCCCTTCTCGCCTCCACTCACCTCCACTCCCGCTCACTCTCTTCACACTCTCTCCTCCCCGCTCCTCCAATTCTGTCCCCTACACTCTCCTTTTCTCTCCTCCTTTCACTCTACTAGAAACCCTCTCCTATACTTTACGCCGCCGGAAACGGAAGTCCTGAAATAGTAAGTTAATACATATATATTTGTTGTTAGTAAAATTAAATGTTTCAAATAGAAATATATACTTTTTTAAAAAATATCGTATAAATATAAATAGTGCTACATAATAATAGACATTTATTTACCAATTTTAATTATCAACTTTCTTTTCTTTTTGTTACTTTTCTTGCATATAATGTCAATGCCAATTTACTCCATTTTAATTATGTACTGGTATAGCATATTCTCCTGATATTCCCTATTATGACAAAGATATTATGTATTTTCTTCATGTATATACAAAGTGTCAACTCATGCAGTACCAACTCATTCATTCAATATTCATTAAGCAGATAATAATATTAATCTACTTACCATCGAGCATATATAAAATCCATCGGAGGAATGAACATTGATGATGCCGTTAAGAGAATATTATATAAAACATTTTCGAATAAATTGGCAGAGAGGTATAATTGGAAAGGCCTACGGGGAAAAGAACCACTATGTAATCTGGAAATTATAAAAGTAATATTCAGTAAGTATTATAATTTGTAATTTAGATATACAGGCTGGGGGGTTATAAGTTTATAACCCGAAGTGTGAAGGTAGATTGAGTTAAGAAAACATCAAATAACTTGATAATTATTGCGAATCTCGCAAAACGATATGGAACTTTCATGTTTGTCTTAACCCAATTTACCTTCACACTTCAGATTATAAACTTATAACCCCCATCCTGTATGTAGGTGGCCAAGGACAGTTGATACATGTAAGTTAGAAAATTCGATTACTTGTACTATTTTCTAACAAAATCAAGCAAACAAAGACTTCAAAACTATCTTTGATATGTTTGACATTTCTTACTCTCATTTCTTTTTTGCTCTCAGTTTTGTAATCCTGTTAGAAAATAATCAATTTTGCCAATTTATATCTGCTACCAACTCTGGCCCTGGCTTCCACTAAGTACTGAAATTAATGTAATGCATTATATATAAATAAAGGTTAAAATACAATATATATATATAAGGTTAAAATTGAGAAAATATTTTTAGGATCCATACTTGACAATATCTCAGATTCCGGTCAAAGCAAAATACAGCGGAGGATAATAGAGTGGTTTCGACACTCTAAAGCAAGGAGGCAGAATGAGGAGAAGCGGGACAATAATATACTCCATTCTGAGTAACCATTCTGTACAAAATCAAAATGGAAACATTAAACAGTATGAAATATTGTTTATTGTTATTATTATAAGCAAGATACTTGTACATATCCCAGCAAACACAATGTTACATGTAATGTACATGTAACACATGTGTTATATAACAGTTATAACTGTTATATAACACATGTACAAATGTATACAAATGTATACATTGTTGAGTAGGAAGTTATAACTAACATGTACGTTACATATAACATTGTGTTTGCTGAGATCTAATCTCTTCTGTAATGTGGTATTTATATATAATTATTTTTACTATGTTACAGATATTTGTAATTGCAATTTGTAATTTGACTATGTTACAATAATGTATATTATTTTATTTTCAGCTCTTTTTACTTCATAGCTGTTAATAAAATTTAATTTATTACAAAGTATGCTAAGAACAATTCTAAGCTCTTACTCAGAATATTTAGAAAATTCTATGCTATTTGTAATAATTTGTAAAACTATTAATACATATAGGGCGCGTTCACGGAGACGCTATTTGCGCTATTTATAGCGCTATAGATCGTTCACGGAGCTAGATGGTAGCGCTAACAAACGCTGTCATGACGTCACTAACAGTAGCGTTCTACGTCATAACTGCGCGCAATCAACGCTATTCCTTCCGAGGTAGGATGCGTTCGGGGAGCACGCTATCACGCAACAAACGCTAACGCTGATAGATGCGTTCGGAGAGACTATAAGCAGCTTACGCTTTCGAGCTGCTCGAACATTACTTGAGTGAATTTATCGTTACAATATGGCTGATGTTGGTGCAAATATGGATAACCAAAAAAGAAAAAAATTATTAAGTCTTTTAATTTAATTTTTTAATTTTTAATTTTTAATTTTTATTTAATTTTTTAATTTTTTAATTTAAAAGTAGGACGTCGGAAGAAACTGCCAAGATTACAAAATTATGTGGAAGAGGTGATACCTAGGTGGAAAGATCAAGAATTTTAGGTAATGATAAATTATCTTTAATTAATTTTCAAAGTTCTATACATATATCATAGAATGGTGAACATATTTCACATTATGTATTTATTTATGGTAGCTCAGTAAATATTGCAGCAAAGTAAATGCAATATGTATTTTATAACATTTACATTGTTACGTGAGAAATTATAACATAAATGTAATGTAATGTAATGTAATTTTTCAATAATGTCATTTGAAATTTCAACAAAAAGTGTTTAGTATAGTGATATTCGGTATTTATTGGAAAGAAATTAGCTAAATTTTTCTATTAGCATATTCGACTGGACTTGGGTTCACCCATGCTGGGTTAAATAAACCCAGCTTATTGATCGAACATGTACTATATAGTATAGTATAGTATACGTTCGACTAATAAGGCCCAGTTCCACAACTTACTTTAAACGAAGTTTAAAGCTAAACCGATGGTTAAAAGCAATAGTATATGCGCATATACTTCATGATTAAAATTGCTTTTAACCATCGGATTAGCTTTAAACTCCGTTTAAAGCAAGTTGTGGAACTGGGCCTAAGTTGAGTTTATGTAACCCAGCATGGATTAACCCAGGTCCAGTCGAATACGCTGTATGTCTGTACTAATTTTAGTTCTACACACTTCTTATCTAGAATATCCAGAGACACTTTTGAGTTTGTACTCTTGATAATTGCCCCAAAACTTAAGAGAAAGTGTCCAGGGTTAGGAATGATCTCCCCAGAGAAACAGTTTTTTATTGCTATTTGGCGAATGGCTACACCAGATTCTTATAGGTTAGTACATTATATCTAATAATAAGACCTACTCAAGGTAATGTTGCATTTTTCATTTATAAGTTTTTTAATCCTAGATCAATATGTGAAAAGTTTGATGTGAGTCGATCAACAGCCTTATTAACAACACGTCGAGTTACCAAGATACTTGCAGATTTAGCACCAGTATTAATTAAATGGCCAACAGGCAACGCTATCCAAGACAGGATTTGAAGTAATTAGTTCCTTCCCTAAAGTCATAGGAGCTATCGATGGTATTCACATCAATATCCCATCTCCACATATACATCCAGAAGCCTATGTTAATCGGAAAGGTCACCATTCCATTCAGCTACAAGTTTGTAATATGTACTTAGTATATTAGATGGAAGAATTTATCCTCCTCACTATATTGTATATATTGAATATATCGTACTATTCTTCCAGGGGATCTGTGATCACAAAACTCGTTTCACGCACTGCTATATTGGACATGCAGGTTCTGTGCATGATCAACGCGTTTTTCGTCAATCAGAAATTCAAGATGCATTGGGTAACCCAGAAAAATTTCCTGATGATTCCCATTTACTTGATGATGCTGCATATAAAATTCATGATAATTTAATGGTTCCATATCGTGATAATGGTCATTTGACTGAACGACAAAAAAATTATAATTTCTGCCATTCTTCAGCACGAATCGCCATTGAAAGAGCATTTGGTACCTTGAAAGGTCGATTTAGAAGTTTATTACACAACCATGAATCGGACTGACTTAGGCCGGTATTCATAGTCAGGTCTTATATTTAAGACCGTCTTAAGTTCATTTTCAGATACCCCATAGCCAATGAAATGATTTGTATAGCATCTGAAAATAAACTTAAGACGGTCTTAAATTTAAGATCCGATTATGAATACCGGCCTTAATTGCTCATTATATACTTGCTTGTTGTGTCATGCATAATATTTGTATACTAAGAAATGATGATTTTGACATTGTTTTATTAAATAATGAAGTAGATAATGATATTCCTCGTCAAGTTGCTGCAGATGATACAACAAGTGTTCTGAAAAGAGACTTAATTAGCCAAAGACTTCCAATAAGACTCATATAAATCTTAAAACAGTTCTAATTTTGCTAGGAATGCAATGTATTTTTTATTTTAAAGAAGTTTACAAGTTATTATCTTTTATACTTTTGTAACATAGATATAAACTAATATGTACATGTTTAATAAAATTAAAATAGTATAACATATAAAAGAATTCTTTATTTATTTTTACAATAGTATTATATTTAAAAATTGCCATTTCCGTGTTACTTCTAAAATAATAAGTACATCCTCTTCGTTATTAATTCATTTAGGACAAAAAGTAAAAGAATAAAATGAAAGATACATTTTGTTATTGATATTAGTTTTATAATAGTTTATAATTAATTTTTAACACATACAATTACTCCCCTCGACAGAATAAACATAAAATACTTTGTATTGTCTTGAAGAATAAAAATAAAAGCAAGTTATATATATGTAATATTGTTGGTTACACATAAAGAACTAATATCACCAACTCTGCTTAACTTAATCGGTCGACCAAGCATTAATATTAATTAATCATTCCCTTCGACAAAATAAAAATGAAATACTTTGTATTGTCTTGTCTTGAGGTACAATAAAAATAAAAACAAGTTACATATATGTAACACTGTATAAGTAATACTAAGTATAATGTAATACTTAGTTATACATAAAGAACTAATATCACTAACTCTGGTTAACTTTTTCGATCGACCAAGCAGTAAAATTAATGAACCAATTTATTTTTCTGATCAATATGATTGATTAATTTTGTTATAATAGACTAATTAAGTTAACTGAATGTAGTAATTCTGTTCCACATAACTTTCATCAGAAATATTTACCAAACATTTTAATTGTTCCAACATAGAAAGAAAAATCTTATTTTATATATCAGTGTTCTTAACATTAAGTATCACTTATGCATTTAATCATTATTCAATTTATCACAGATGTACACAGGAAGTTATTAATCTCTTGCTATTATAACTGTTATTTGTACGATTTTCACAACTTTATGCGTTGCGTCTATGACCATGTTTACGTAATAACTTTATCTAACTAATTAACTATATTATAAAAATATGTATGTATAGGCATAAAGTTGAAAATCGTCAAAATAATTCAAATTACAATGGGAAGACATTAGTGAATACTTATGTGTATAAACTTAATATTAATTATTAATATTAAAAAATAAAGCAAATTTTAAGAATATGTTTAAAATATTAAGGAAGACAGAACGCAGTATAATAGATGTACCAGCTACTATACTATATTTTACAAAACTAAATAAAATATTAATTGTACTAAAAGAAGTAAACAAGAAAATAAATGGTACATGTTTTATCAAAAACAAAGGAAACAATCTTATAATTTGTATTACAACTTCGTTTTATCTTTGTTGCATGTAAATTAAAATAAAAACATTTATAATTTGTCTAAAATTTTACCCATGAATTTTAGCATTTGCTTTTCAAAGTCCATGTTTTCTTTGTGCCTCTGATCACTATTGTTCTCAGCCAATTTCCGACTTTGTAAAATTGATTCAGCAATGTTTGATGTACTTTCTTGTGCCTTGCGCTTCTGACAATTTGAATAGCTTAAATTTTTATTACTTGAGTTTGCATTGTTACATATATTTGCATTTGTTAAGTTAGATTCTCTATTAGATCTAGAATTAGAACACATACTGCTTGAAGAGGCTATTGCTGGAGACGACATAATAGGTCGTTCACCAAGCAAAGATTCCATGACTTCCATATAAGGCCATGTTCTAAGATTATTCCCTGATTTGCTATTGTGATCTTTTATAGATTTATAAGTTCGTTTCATTCCGTGAAATTTTGAAAGACATTGAGGTTCAGTGACATTATAGCCTTTAACAAATAATGCTGATGCAATATTATTCCATACTTTTTTCTGGGATATTTTACCCGATACAATGTTATTTTTTTGCAGCCGATACTTTTCTACCAGCAATAGAATTGCCGCATGAGACCATTTAAACATTGATTCATTATTATCCTCAGAATTGGAAGACTCCATTGACAGACTTGCTGCATCAAAATCTGAATCTTGTTGATTTTGCTCTTTCTAGAAGATAAGTAGTAAATATCGTATCTAAAAGAATAACGAATAATATCTATATATTAAAGGAGACATAAATCAATCACACTCTTTTATTATAATCTAATTTATTAATTTCCATTATATCAACTGATCTATCTTCTATACTTGGATAATTATTAGCATATAGAATACTTATATAACCTCTGTCATCATAATTACCATTTTCTGCACGCGCTGCATCATTTGGCGATACTTTTATTGTGTATGTCACATCGTTTTCATCTAAAAGATGAATTTCGACATTTTCAGATATTTAACTAAGTGGTTGAGCCATTGTGAATACAGTTTCTCACAGTTTAATAAATTGTCTTTATTTGACTTTTGACGCAATTGGTTTGTTCTTTCTGGTTGCACTGTTGTAATTGGTTGAAAAAACAGCAGTTAAAAAGAACAGATCATAGACTAACACTTTAAAGCACAATCGAACGTTCGAGGAAAGAATAAGCGCCAATTAGCGCTAATAGCATTTGCTGCCCTACCTCGAAAATGATAGCGAAAAATTGCGCGAATAATGACGTCACGCTGCTTTGAGAGTGATGTCATTATCGATTTTATAGCGCCACAAAGCGTCTCCTCGAACGGTCTTAGATACTTATTGTGCGAATAGCGTGCTCCCCGAACGCACCCACAGACGAGGGAGGACAGCACCAGCCTATTCCGGGGGAGCCACGGGAGAAGGCCGGTCCCAACAGTTCAGATTCGGCGGATGGAGAAAAGATAAAAGGAAACGGACGGAGGCAGCGCTTTTGCCATTTAACGTTGAGACGGATAGTAAAAATAGAGTCGAGTCGAAAGACTAAGTCGTGGATCGTCAAGCTTTTGTAAAGCGATATATTTGGTATAAATTGCGGTGTCGGGTACAATTGTATTTGTGTTCTTTTAAAATATATATATACTTATATTCTTGTTCAATATAAGAAGAGTTTCATATTAACCACTCGGAACCTCTACATCCTGAACATCCCCTTTTTCTAACTAAGGAGGAGGATCTAGAAGAAGAGAGATTTAAAAGAGAAAGGAATAAAGATATAGACGATATCTCTTTTAAATCTTACAGCTCCGTGAACGCCAGTGAACGCGCAGAACTGTGTTAAGTTCGAGCTGTGCGTGCTCCGTCCCGGAAATATTTGACGTAAAGAAGATGGAAAATATAGACATAAATCTTCAGGACGCTGAAACTGGAGAACTGTTTCAAGTACGACTCTCACCGACTAGTGCTTTTAGAGCACAAAATGGTAAGTTCTTCCTAATAAATTGGTTAAGTACTAGAGGTTATATTTATTTGATGATTTGTATTATTATTTTTAGTTTATTTGTCTAAGAAACACATCAAAGTCAAGGAAAAGTCAAAATAACTTTATGATTCTTAATGTTAATAGACAGTTTTTAACCAAAAATCATTATTTTGACTTTTATGACATCAAAGTCATTATGACTTTCTCTTAATTTGGTTTGTTCCTTGGGTGGTTGTTATACTCTTATTTATATTGTGCAGTAAATTCTGATTTACTTATATATTAATGCAACTAATTGTTATTGGCTTTTACCACAATGTTGCTTTAATTTAAAAATACTTGCTCTTTATTTTTCTTGCATATATTTTCTGCAAATCTATTCATTAACTGCATTGCTTTAATCAAGTTTAATGCATGCATTGAATATTTTTGTTTTGCAATTACTTTTAATAATACTGTTTATATTTGCTGCTTGATGCATGTATAAAATAATAATTGCAAACATTATTTTTATTTTTATAAGCATCTGAGCAGAACACTTCACTGGATAAAGCATCTAATATGTACTTTATTTTTAATTAAGTTGAACTTTTCTCTCTTTCATATTGTATAGTAATTTCTTGTATGTAATTAATTGCATACCTTGTGTTTGTAGGATATATGGGCATGTTAAAAGAATAACTTGAAGAACAGGAAATTTATGAAAATAAAGAAAGTAAGAAAATTGTATAATATGGATGGTGTTTGTTACGAAAACTATATATGTTTGATTTATATTGCAGATTTTCGATCTCTTCGGTCTCATGAGGCCATAATGTTATTAGTTGATGAATATAGGCTGCGAGAATCGTTCATGTCTTCAGGCAAAATCAGCAACAAAAAAAGCGTGGGACGAAATGTCAACAATCATGAATGCCAAAGGACACATGTTTTCAGGTAGACAGTGTATGACAAAAATAAACACAATGAAGCGAACATATAAGACGATCAAAGACCACAACTCAAAATCCGGTAACAATAATCGCACGTGGAAATATTATGAAGTAAGTATTACTTTAATTAACTTGTACTGTACTAAACTTTTCCCCACTCTTTTACTATTTGTAATACAATATCATCTGTTTAGGTCATGGAGAGCCTTCTTCGCGAAAAAACATATATAGACCTGTTATTAACTATTTCATCAACTGGGTCTGTGACATACAAGTCTGGAAAATTAAAATCTGCTGATAGTTGCTCTAACGACTCTAGCAGTGAATCCAGTGGTCCAGTTTCTCGTAAGTAATAATTACACATTTTTAATTGAATTATAACAAATTCGGCCATTTACAATAGTGCGCAGTGTGCACCAAGAGTGCAGTGTTCTCTCTGTATAGGCAGTAAAATAAAAAGAATATTTGTACTTCCAGGGAAACGTAGAGTCAGCAATACTTTGGAAGCAATATTAGCAAACCGCCAAATAGCCGAAGAGCAAAAAAATAAGAGACATAAAGACAGGATGGAAATGTCACAAAAAATATTGAACAAACTAGAATCGGTTTTGAACAAGCTATAAACTATAAAGACGTTAACCGATGTAAAGCGGCATCTTCAATGAGAATTTAAAGCGTAATGATCCTTGCATGCTGCACGCGATTAGTAACGAGCAATAAACGATATGCAATGAAGACTATTTTTTATGTTTCATGTTTTTAGTTTCATACTTTAAATTCTTATTGAAGAACCCGTTTAGAAGCAATAGATTGCAATATTAAGAAAAGTCTGATTTTATAGTCTGAAGTGTCTAACAGTGTTATTTAATTATATTATATATTTGCTTCATGTTAAAATAGTAAAATTAAGTATATTAAGCCTAAGTATACAAGTATATTAGGTCTATAAGTATATTACGCACCGTCTACAGGTACCTTTAGTTATGCAATATTTACATGTGATATTAAGTTACAAATAGATATAAATGTTCAATGACAGAAGTATGGTTTTGTTTAAAAAATCTTCACGAATCATATGTGGTTTAATTTGAAAAAATAATAACATATTAATTTCTTTCTTAAGCATGTCTATAAGTATATTACGCACCGTCTACAGGTACCTTTAGTTATGCAAATTTACATATGATATTAACCCAGATAGCCAAACCTGCGCGAGCAGATTTCGAACAAAGCCTGCTATCATAGTTTGATGGCAAATAGGCAACAAATTTAACGCAGAATCTGTTATATCAAATTATGCTGCCAATCTGTGGTCAAATATGCGCCAGATCCTGCTGTCGGATATTTGACGGCAGATTTGTATCAAAAACCGCGCAAGACTTGCAGTAATTTGATGACAGATTGGCGGCAAAAACCGAGCAAACTCTGCGCGCAGACTCTACGCATAGTTTGGCAGCAGGACCTGCGCGGTTTCTGTTGACAATCTGCTCGCACGGCCTGTCGTACAGGTCCTGTCGACAAAACACGAGCCTAATGAGGACACAGATGGCTATGGTTTTGATGTGGAGATCTGATCGAAATTGGCGTCAATCTGCGCGCATTCTGCTAGCATTTTGCTTACTGGGAGTTACAAACAGATATAAATGTTCAATGACAGAAGTATGGTTTTGTTTAAAAAATCTTTACGAATCATATATGTGGTTTAATTTGAAAAAATAATAACATACATTAATTTCTTTCTTAAGCATGTCTCATTAGTAACCTTGCAGCTATTAAGTCTCTTTTTGCAGCCCCTGCATGAGCGATATCATGCATATCGTCAGTGTTGCCCACAACACATTGTCTTTCTTCTACATCCTCCAACATTTCTATATCCAAGTCACCTCTCATTGTACATATATTGTGTAACACACAACAGGCGAGAATATGCTTTGGAATTAGGTCTGTTCTGTCCATCGCAAGTATTGTAAGAAGACTTTGGAAACTGTTAATAAGCCAAATGCTCTCTCAATAACCATTCTTGCAGAAGCATGGCAAAAGTTGTAATTTCTCTGCTGCTCTGTCATGTGACCATTATCTCGGTATGGTACTAACAGATTTTCATGCAGTTTATAAGCTGCATCTCCAATTAAATGACATTCCTGTGGAAATTTTAACCCATCTTCTAAGTAGGATTGTACTTCTGATAAACGAAAAACTCGTTGATCATGTACAGATCCTACATGTCCCACGTAACAGTGTATAAATCGGCAAGTATGATCACAAATAGCCTGCAACTAAACAATATATGTATATTAGATTAAATTGTATAGAAAGCATTAACACTATAATAATATTTACACTTATATATATTTATATTATATATATATATATATTATATATATTATATATATTTACACGTATATATACACTATAATAATATTGCACTATATAATAATGTTGCAGTTAAGAGTAACATTTTATGAGTTTTACAAGCTTAAAACATTACAAGATATTTTTCCTAAAACACGAAAAATTGCAGAAATAGTGACAAGAAGATTAATAATGACTCCATCAAGCATTCTAGCATTGACTAAAAAAGGCATTATACCTGAAATTGGATTGAATGGTGACCTTTGCGGTTCACATATGCCTCTGGATTTTCTTTAGGAACTGAAATATTGATATGCGTGCCATCAATAGCACCAATGACTTTCGGGAATCCACTAGTAGCTTCAAATCCTACTCATATTTGCTCACATTCTTCATTCGTTGGCCATTTAATTATAGCAGGCATCAGCTCAATAAGTGCATTTATAACACGCCTTGTTATATGTAACGCAGTGCTTCTACCGACATTAAATCTGTCGGAAATTGACCTGAACATTAGAAAATAAAAATATATACAAGTAGTTTTCTAGTCAGTGACATAAATCAACATAAGCATTATTCAATTTGTTGCTCAGTATACATGGAACAAAGATAGATTCATGCTGTGTTGCCTGATATCAGTGAGTGCATTCAGCAGAAGTGCTTTGTAAGTACTTTATTGTTTACCTAAAAGAATCTGGAATAGCTAGTCTCCACAATGCCAACAGACACTGTTTATGTGCACTAATCATAGGTGCTCCTTCTTTTTCTCTTTTTCTCTTTTAATTTTGGCTCAATAATAGATAAAAGATATTCGAATGTTTCAGGAGTTATCCTAAATTGTGTATTAATATCTTATTACTTATCAGTTAAATATTGCATTTTTTACTTATATCAATTATACTATGTTCTATACCATAGACATTTCTATATAAATGTTATTCACAAAAAGACATTATTTACATAACTGATACCTGAAATGAACCTTGAAATCTTCACTTCTTAAGGCAGGCATTATGGTTTCAACATAATTTGGTATTCTCGCCTTTTTCTCTTTTATTTGCAATGTGTTGTAATATGACAATTTCTTCCTCATCGCTGTCACTTGAGGACGCATTTACTAGGTCTCGTACTTCCAGTAATAACGTTATTAGCACTTCTTTTAAATTTGCCATTTTTGCTTTTGCTTAACGCAACATATAACCTAACTCCTAACTCGTTACAAAAAGATGCTGTAGTAATGCAAACGCTAAATGCCGTTCACGGAGCTCGCTATCGCTATCACGCTATTGGCTCCTTGAACGGTTTTGGTAGCGTTTGCACTGGTAGCGTTGATAGCGTCTCCGTGAACATACCCTCATTCATTCAATTTATGGCTCTGAGCAGATTTATTACACTCCTTCTCTTACATCAATCACGATTTTGGAAATAAAAGAGAAACAAGAACAACGCGTACAGTCCCCAAGATAAAAAATATGCGTAGTTACGGGAACTACATCCAACCGCCAGAAGCGAACAAAAGACTTTGTTCGTTGCATACATTATACAGGGTGTTTGATAGCTGATCATGCAGACGAAAGTTGGAGATAGATTGGGTGTAGCCGAGAAGAAAAGTCATGTACCATAATGTCAAATTGCCAATAGTTATCGAGTTATTAATTAAAACATGTGAGCCAACGAGCGCGTAGAGAGCGGAGGGCGACCGCAGTAAGCACGTAGACATTTGATACAGGCGGAGTCAGTGAGTGGCGGTAGGAGAGCGTGCGCGCCGAGGGGCAACGTAAACGACAAGAGGCGGGTGCGCGCGACGAGGAGCGAGCGAGCGCAAGCGACAAAAGGCGAGCGAGCGCGACGAAGAGCGAACGAGCGCGAACGACGAGGAGTGAGCGAGCTATAAGGAAAAAACCACAAAGAAAAAGTTCGCTCGCTCCTCGTCGCGCGCGATCGCCTCTTGTCGCTTACGTTGCCCCTCGCCGCGCGCGCTCTCCTATGGCCACTCACTGACTCCGCCTGTATCAAATGTCTACGTGCTTACTGCGGCCGCCCTCCGCTCTCTACGCGCTCGTTGGCTCACATGTTTTAATTAATAACTCGGTAACTATTGCCAATTTGACATTATGGTACATGACTTTTCTTCTCGGCTACACCCAATCTATCTCCAACTTTCGTCTGCATGATCAGCTATCAAACACCCTGTATAAGGATAATTATCTTTAGTACTGATAATAAACATTAAAATAATAATTGAAATAAAAATAAACACAAGAAATATACATATTAAATACATTATTATATTAATAATAAATAAATTATTTATTTATAACATTTTATAACCTTTATAACTTTTTAAGTTATAAGTCCACATATAGGGTGTCCGGAATGTGATCATTAATATTTTGTGTACTGGTAGAACTCGTTAAAACAATTAAGAAAGTCCTGTGCCATTTTACAATTTTTTCAATATTTATTCTGTAATTAATTAAAATGTGTAAACGAATGAGCGCACGAGAAAGCGATAGGACGGGCTCTGTGCATAAGAAGATGGCTTACCTCGCGCGGCGAGAGGCAACCGTAAGCGACAAGAGGTGCGCGACGAGGAGCGAGCGAGCGCGAACGACGAGCGAGCGAGCGCAAGCGACAAGAGGCAGTCGCCCAGCGTTCTCTACGCGCTCATTGGCTCACATGTTTCAATTAATAAAGCCAGCGGCACACGGTGCTTGTTTTCGTGCTGGATTGCTTGCTGGATGAAAATACTGCGTTTTGATTGGTATATTTTCGAAGATGGATGGAAATACACCAATCAGAATGCAATATTTTCATCCAGCAAGCAATCCAGCACGAAAACAAGCACCGTGTGCCGCTGGCTTAACTCGATAACTATTGCCAATTTGACATTATGGTACATAACTTTTCCTTTCGGCTACACTCAATCTACCAGTACACAAAATATTAATGATCACATTCTGGACACCCTGTATATTTTTCTACGCTCACTTTGTATTAGTTACTTTTCTTAAACTTCGTTTATTCCAGCTAAACGGTCAACATTGGGCATTCAAATTAAACTCAGTTTAACCACGTTTAAATTTTAAGCGAAACATGGTGGGAATGAAAAATGTATTTTAAGCCAGCTGCACACGGTGCTTGTTTTCGTGCTGCTTGCTGGATGAAAATACTGCGTTCTGATTGGTGCATTTCCATCCATCTTCGAAAATATACCAATCAAAACGCAGTATTTTCATCCAGTAAGCAATCCAGCACGAAAACAAGCACCGAGTGCCGCTAGCTTTATATTATTGGGTGTACAAATTAGTTCGGTCCGTTTTCAAAAGATGGCTCCGGCTGTTATGAATGGTTCATAATGACTGCCGATTTTGACGGTTTCAGAGAAGTTAGACATCTGCCAATAATATTCAGTTTATATAGCTTTGAGTTTCATACAAAAACCTTGCTTTTTACAGTGTTGAAAATGTCGAATTTTGTGTTAACCAAGCAGCATTTGCGAGAGGTTTTAATTTTCTGCTTTAATTGGAAGAAAAGTGCAGCTGAAGCCCATCGAATGCTTGTTGAAGTTTATGGTGACGCTGCTCCAACTGATAAATCATGTACGGAATGGTTTCGACGTTTCAAGGATGGAGATTTCAGCGTCGAAGCCTCGCTCTGGACAGCCAAAAAAATTCGAGGACAAAGAATTAGAGGCATTACTCGAAGAAGATCAGAGTCAAACGCAAGAGGAGCTTGCAGAATCATTGGGAGTGACTCAATAAGCCGTTTCCGTACGATTGAGAGACATGGAAATTATTCAAAAACAAGGAAATTGGGTGCCTTATGAACTGAAACCGAAAGACGTTGAAAGGCGTTCTTCATGACAACGCTCGGCCTCATGTCGCAAAAGTCGTAAAAAAATATATGGAAACGCTCAAATGAGATGTTTCACCGCACCCGCCGTATTCTCCGGACATTGCTCCTTCTGATTACTGGTTGTTCCGAAGGATACAGCACAATTTGGTAGGTCACCAGTTCACTTCTTTCGCAGATATCGAAAATTGGCTCCAAATTTGGATTGCCTCAAAAGACGAGTCATTTTTTCGAGATGGAATTCGAAAATTGCTTGAGAAATGGGAGAAAGTAACCAGCGATGGAAAATACTTTAATTGATCTGTTCATTCATTTTGTTTTGAAATAAATACATCTTTTAACACAAAAAACGGACCGAACTAATTTGTACTCCCAATATATATAAGTATATGAGAATAAACTTGAAATTTTTTTTAATTGCACTGGAATTGCATAATAGTGCAATAATTATGATGCATCATTTTATTCAAATTTTTCTTCAAATATCTTTATAATGTATTTTTTTTCAAAATAAAAATGTAATATATATATATACATATATAAAAATAATTTATATATTTTAATATGTATTATTATTATTATTATTGATATTTAAGATTATCATCTTTATTTTGTTTTATTTAGATTCCAAATTTAAATTCGGCAGATGTGATAATCCTGCGCTTGTCGCTTTTCCATTTGTGTAATTTCTGACAGCCGATCAATATAAACAATAAATAAAATGCCATTAAAGTTAGATTTAAATCTTACATTTTTTAAATTTTATTGCATAGAGCAGAATATCTTTCATATTTTCTAAACATATCACGATATAATGTAATAGTGATCTTACATGTATACACAAGCTAACGGGATTCAATAACTGTGAGCTGCTGTGTGTATAAGGTACAATTATAATTTATAAATTTACATTTACAAGGCTTATATGGTAATATAATTTTAATATTAAAATAAACTTATACATAATGCTATATTGAATTTCAGCGACTTATAACGCATCTTAGTGCTGTATGAATTACTTAACAGGTTTTAAAACGTAATAGATATAATTGTAAATTGTTGATTGTACAATATTAAGATCATATACAGAAAATAAATCATCTAAACTGGCAAGAAGCTCAGCTCTAGGCTTCTTGATAGTCTCCTAACTTTAAAAAAAGTGGCTATTAGCTTAAATTATTACTGATAGTAATGTCGACACTGTGTAACAGCAATCACGATAAGTGCCCTGTAGTTATACTTACAAGACATGTTCCTTACGTTCATTCAAATTACACTATCTTATATCTACAAATCAATTAAAAACGAAGTTCATTAATATAAATGAGGAATTTAGCCAAATTAATAATGATGAAAACCTAGAATAAATTACGTAAATGAATAAATATGTATCAAAATATATGAATATATATATGAAACAGAAGTTCGTCCGTGTCGTGACAGAAAGAAATTTCTTTTCTGCTGGACACATGTAACTTTGGCTCTTCGTATATGCCTGATGAGAAAAAAAATGCTGTCAAGTGTATACATGACATGTCAATCAAGATGAAGTTAAGTCGAGCATTATATTAGTGTCTTCTAATGCTGGTAATGGTAACTCGTTCGTCTCCTCCTCGATTCTGGCATCTGACATCTTTAGGAACTTGATTACCTTCTCAGTAGCAGCTATTCCGCAACTACTCACTTCATTCTAAAATAACGTGCACACAATAAGTAACTTAGAACTTACATTATCGCATATTTTTTGATCATTTAAAACAAAAAAAAATAAAAGTAATTACCGATGCCGTCAGATTCATGAAGTTGAAGAACTTTTGAAGTACAGAAACCATGGTAGTGAAACTTTTGTCTCGTAATCTACTTCGTACTAGCGACTCATATTCCTAAAACAATACCAATTTGTCATTAGAAAATTCTACAATATATGTACATATCGTTTCACGATGTGTGTGTATGTGTGTGCGTGCGTTGTGTTTTGTGTGTGTGTATGTGTGTGTGTGCGCGCGCGTATGTGTGTACATACATATACATACATATATACATATACATGTATTAAATTATATATCGATGTGTCAGATGTCGGAATACCATATTACTCAACAGTGATTATTACAATAATGTTTCAATTGTATTCTTCCACATTACGATTATATTGAATTTTACCTTATTATCCATTATTAAGTATCCAAGTAAAAGCACGACGTACGCTCCGATCAAAGTATGTTCCATATGTCGTCCAGCTTTTTGCAATACTGCGAAGGAATAAACGTGGAGTTAGAATAATCACGACCACTTGCTCAACAAATAAATTATTTCGTATAATACAGAGCTCGGCAAAATGTGCACGCGACGGCCGATTTTCGACTATCTCCGCTCACCGCTATTCCCTTTACCTCGCCACTCCGCGCGCTGCCTACAAGCCGCTCGAGCCTCTGGAGCGTGTTTCCAATAGTTTTCACGTCACCCATGAGGTACTATTGTTGACGTGTTTTTTTTTTAAGTGGTATCCCCAGTAGGCCTCTTCATTTTTCAAAAATAAAGTTTATAAAAAATGAGGTGTTCTTCTTTAAGCGACGATTCCTTACCACGTCTTATGCGGCTCGCTATATGCAATATCCAAATTGACGCTTCCACTCTTAATCAATAAAAGACGCCGAAAATCGAATTGAATATTCTTCATTTAACATATTTTATTTCGCTTCTGATCAATTTTAGTTACGGGTTGTTACAGTCATCAGTGGATTAGGCTTACTGGGGGTATCACTTAAAAAAAACGCGTTAACAATAGTACTTCATGGGTGACGTGGAAAACTATTGGAAACACGCTCCTGAGACTCGAGCGGCTTGTGGGCAGCGCGGAGCGGCGAGGTAAAAGAAATAGAGGTAGGCGGAGATAGTCGAAAATCGGCCGTCGCGTGCACATTTTGCCGAGCTCTGGTATAATACATACATTTGGTAACGGTCTCTTCAATAAATTCTTCCTGAGATTTAGTAGTAGTCGATACTGTTTCTGTTTGCTCAGAATCTTTCTGTCCATCCAAAATGGCGTCAGTTTTTTGTTCCTCAGCACGCGCAAGTTCTTCTTGCTTATAAAATAAATCGATCAAGGATTCTACTCCGCTTTCTTCTGCTAAAGACATACGGTTAACAAAAACATATAAATCATCAACGCTCATAGTCATAATATGATGATATGATAAGAATATTAGAATAAGATTGTAATTTTATAATTGATTTTGTCAGTGTGAATTACGTACTGTCAAAAATATCTTCTGGTGACGGGGGAGCTTTCGATTCAATGAGAAGTTGCTTGTTATCGTCACATTGCTCTACTAGATTTATCAATAAAATTAATGCCAACATCATCATATCAAACCGCTTCTCCTCTGGAAGTGACTCGGGAACGCGTAATAAAAGAAATAAACTACAATCCAAAACGCCAACTTCAGAGCCGACCGACGTGCTACCAAAAGCTGTAAATGTACAATATATATATATATATATTGAAAATTTTTATATAAAATAATACAATAAATATACCATATTGAAATATCTTACACTGTCTATTAAATCGATGGGTGAGGTTAATAAGAACTTTAATAATCGCGAAAAGGCATTCTCTAACAACAGCACCAGTAGAACTTTTGTCGCTTGGATCCGTTGTCGGGTAGATGGGAATTTCTTGACCACACAAGTGATATAAACTAGCTAATGTGCTTACTAATACTCCGTCCTCATATTTTAATAAATACACTTGATTCTCTTCATTCATATGAGTTACCTGAAAAAAACGTTTATATGTAATATTTCAATTTCTCTCTTCTCTCCCCCTTCTTTTTCTATTCGCGACATAATATGCACAATATTTAAAAAAGAAAACAATACTTACATTTTCTAATACGCGTAAGCATCTGTCAACTTTACGTAATTTATCTAATAAAGGATCTGTCCAGCCAGATCTTAAAACATCCTGACCGTTAATATGACGGTGGCATTCGCGAATTGTTTTTACAATATGTTCCAAACCACCTAACTCTCGTAGTTCTTCCTTAAACCATTCACCAGCGCGCTTTGACGTAAGGCTCAAAAGTGTCTCCATAGCGAGCTGGCCAACCTATCGGAAGCAAAATTACATAAATTACAGAAATTATATAAATATATATAAAAATCATATAAATATATATTCCTGAGATGATTATAAATTCAATAGATTGCAAGTAAAATTACTCACAGTTATGTTATCTAGATTTAGATGCTTAGCATGCCCTTGAGCTTGGATATCAGCGCATAACTGACGTACTTTTTCCTTATTTTTTAATAATTCAGCATGACTTAGACCACAATCGTCAAGAGCGTTCTTATGGCTGGCATCAGACTCTAATAAACTTAACATTAACTCCAAACAATCACGATCCAAATCCATAGCTAGACGATCTTGACTCAAGACAAACATCACCGTTGCTGTACATAGACCGAGGCTCTGCAACAACAATAGCATTATCTAATTCCTAATCGGAAAAAAGTCTCATGCGAGAGTTCTATTTGCTCATATTTCTATGATTACATCGAATTAGTGATCTTTTATTATAATAAAAAATTTACATTTTATCATTCATACCTGATCTTTAGTTGCATCATGAAGAGCTTTAAAAAACTTGGCAACAGTTCCATGAGCACGTACGTGCATACGAAATGCAGGAGCCATACATTTACTTGCTAACCGTATGGCAGAAAGGCAACGAGTAGCATTTGGATTATTTTCTCTCAAAGTGTCCAAGATATATTCTACATCGTCATTGAACTCTTGAAATTCACCACTTTCTTGTATCTGATGAGCTTTTTTTACATTTTTCACTACAGTATAGAACTATAACACAAAGTTTTAATAAATATATCATATCAGTGAATCGAATAAAGTATACAAAGAAATTATCTTGCATTTGATCATGCTTATATATCCCGCAATTGAAAACAGTAATTAATCTCACTATATTTATAGCAAGGTAATGTTGCAAAAAAGTTACTCGTTAATAAAATTATAACAGATCTTCTAAGTACAAAAACAAATAATATTCCAAAACAAACAAATTATTATATTTCATATAGTATATGAAACATAATATTATAGAAAATAATTCCATAATATTCTTCTTATCATATTCTACATAGTATTCACACACATCATGCTTACCCCTTTAACTTTTTTACCACAACGAACACTCGTGATAGTATCAGCTTCGTCCTCGAAGCCGACGTCGGTCGTGGAGTAAGTCACAACTCTCGTCAACTGCGAGGGATCAAATTCCTCCTCGTACACCGAAGTGCCAGCACTACTAGAACCGGACGCGGTGGTTGGTGTGCTATTGTCAGCAGCAGGCGTATCTGTGACGGTGGACTCCTTGTCGCTATCGCACCATTTATGTTTATACAATGCTCGTCTCTTGTTTCCGTTCGTTGCACCTGTCGAACGACTCTTGAAAATACTGCCTTTCTTCGCAGCAGTGGGCTTGCTGATTGGAACACTCGTCGACGGAACATTGGGTATTTGCGATTCTGAAACTGTACTCGTCACATGCAGCGGTATCTCACTCTCGGCGCTCCCACTAACACCTTCACTATCGTCACTGCCCGAGAACCAGTCCTGATCCACTAGAGCTTTAGCAGCGGCGATTTCGGTATCGATCGCACGTGGAACGGCTGGTTCCGGCTCCGACTCGAAGTCGGGTTCGGCCGTTGTTTCTGCTAGCTCAGGTTCAATGAGTTGTGCGTCAATAATAGATGCTGGCTGCTGTTGCGGTTGTTGTTCTTGGTGATGTTGTTCAGATACAATCTCGTTAGATTGGATATCTATAGTGCAGTGCTGAACTTGATTCGCAATGTTCTCCGGTGTTACCTCTGCTTCCACTATGTTATCAGCTACAATTGTAGTCACAGTTGCTGCTGTAGCTGTAGCAAGTGCAAGTGCTGGCATAGGTGCTGGCGTAGATGCTGGTGTATGTGCTGGCGTAGGTACAGGTGGCGGTGGTAGTGCCTGCGGTAGTCTCGTGTCAGAATCACTTGACAATATATCGATCAGCTCTTGAGTTGTGGTCGGCAGTGGCTGATCACGTCCGATCAACGGCTCGATGGTTGGTTTGGAGTACGCAGAGCCGCAGTCAGTCTTAACGATGTCATAGTGCGATATAAGGGTGTTGTTGGAGTCCGTGACGGATTTCCTCAGCGTCAACGAGAGACCAGAGCTGTGGGAGTTTGGCGTCGCTGGCGCCGTCGACACCGCGACAGATGTCGTTGCAGTCAGGTCCAGATGTAGGTTTTTCGCGCGGCTGCGAGTAGTTCTACGCATATCGGAATTCTCCAAAGGAATCGATAAAGTCGAGATAATAGGTTGATGCGAACGTACAGGTTTATAGTGATCTGCCTTCAACGATGTCTCCGATGTGTTAGACGTTTTCCGCTCGATGTCCACTTTAGAAGGACTAGCGAGCGACGTGGAGATCCTGTATGTCTCCGGCTCCGAGATGTCCTGTGTATCTTGCAGGTCTCCACAGACAAACCGCGCAGTACCTTTGCATATTCTCAGCACGATCGGCGGCTTGTTCTCCTCCCGATTCGGGGGAGTATCAACGATCACGCTGGTCGCGTTATCTAAACTCTCTACTATTTTCTTGACTGGCGCATGCGACACTTTCATTAAAGCTGTCTGCTTCTGCTGCTGTACCAGCGGTTGCAGTTGCTGCTGGGGTTGCTTCGAGACACGGGATCGGTTGTATTGCGAATCAGGTACTTGTCTGTAGATTGCTACATCTTGGCGAGATTCTTCTACCACAGGCGGAACATTTCGGCTTTTGAAGAACTTCTTAGGTTTTACAACCGCCAGAGCAGTGTCCGGCTTGTTATCTGGATCCGTCTCAAATGAGAAAGGATCCTTACTGGAATTCACTCGAGCGTTCTGATTCCCATAATCGAGTTTCATTTTCTTCGCACCGAGTGTGTTATGAATATCATCTCTTCTCCCTGAAAAGGGAATGGTTCTTTGCAGTGCTAATATATCTTTCAAAGGTAACATACAATGTTTATGATTGTACCCTATTAATAAAATATGTACAGATTTCTATTTTAAAGAAGATAAGTAAATTATGGTTAATAATCTTTTAAGTAATTTAATTATTCTGCTAATAACTGCTCATAATTTTCAAGGATGACTGATATATCCATGTTTCTAACTGTAAATATATCAAATTGTCTATATAATTACGTATATTTAATTGAATATATAAAAGTAATAAAAATACAATATATACACATATACTTATTTAAATGTTCTATCAGTATATAACAAAATAATGTATGTATTACTGGTATAAAAAATAACAACCTATTAGTTTTTTACTATATTGCATTTCTGGATGTTATAGCTTAAACTCACAACTGGCCAAATAAAACTTTATTAAATAGACCAATATATATAATATTCTTTAACTTAAATAAAATATAACATGAAGAATGTTTATCAGATACAAATCCTCTTATTGTTACATCAACTTTCCATTGTTAAATCTCAAAACATTTATTTCATCACTGATACAACAATGATTAATTGAAACTTCCAGAAACAAATTCTGTCGATTTCTATTATTTTTCTGATATACAATCAGATATAAATATACATAAAAACACATGATAAAAACATAATATATAACAAGTGCTCCAACTTAAGAAAATATAGAATCACAAATTATATAGATTCTTTTTGAAATACACTACGCGCGCGCGCGCGCGCACACACAAAACACACACACACACACACACACACACACACACGCACGCACGCACGCACGCACGCGCGCACACACACACACACAGCAAAGGATATTTTATGTACAAACACTGAACAAATACATACCATTGATATTTGTGCTCCTGATAGACGTGAAGGACGTTATACCCCATTTGCCAACAGTGCCTGCTGACTTGGCAGCGGAGGGCCGATTACTGTTCTCGCGAAAGAGCTTGTCGAACTGTATACTGCCGGCTGTTACACTGTTAAGCTTACGGGTATAAGATTTCGTGTAACCACGGGACGTCATTGTTGCGCACTGTCGCTCGTTTCACAAGTCCTCCGCATCTCAGAACGCATAACCGACAGTTCCTGTTCTCATGCTCGTCGAAGATCCCGCCGTCTCAACGAGCACTGCGCTGTGGAAGCGGATCAAGGTGTACGCTCTCTCGTCGTGGTGTCGCGAAACCGACTCTTGTAGCATAGGTGAGTTATGTTTCCCCGATGGATGACCGACGAGCATGTGCCGAAATGTTTTGCGACTTCTAGCAGACAACGATATTTCTGTATCATACGGGAGAAACAAACGCCATGTTTCTCGCGACTCGACTGTTTCTCCGATCTCGAGCGGACGAACGGACTTCTCGCTCTCTTTTTCTCTCTTTCCCCCTCCCCCCTCTCTCTCCTCTCTTTCTCTGTCTCGCTCGTTCGCTTATTCGCTTGTTCGCCCGCTCGCTCGCTCGCTAGCTGGCTAGCTAGCTCGCTTGCTTACTCGCACACGATGCCGAAACAATAAATTCGATTAGCAATCTCAGTGATCTTGATCGCGCGCCAGTGAACTTGTCACTTTCGTTTTCATCGTCACTTACTCCTACTGCCGTCGCCGCCGTTGCCGTTGCTGCTGTTGCGCTTTTTTCACCGCTACTATCATCAGTTTGACTGACGATTATTAATCATCAACATAGATCTTCAGCCATCTGCCTATGTTTTTCGTTTCGGGATTTAGATACATATATATATGTATCATGACAGAGAGGGGAGAAAAGGGAGGGAGAGAGAGGGAGAGAGAGAGAGAGAAGTATATATACATGCACACGCCACATCTGTGTAGTTGTATATGCAGCACGCGCAAAGTAAAATAATTGTTTCTATCGATAGATAGAACCAGAGAGCGGCCACCGGGCCGGTTACGACGGGACGCTTTCTTCGACGCGCCCCCTGAGAAAATGTGTGCACACTACATCCGTCCTGTACCGCGATTCTGTAACTCGTTATAATTATAACGATACATGACGTTAAGCCCTAAACACAATGTCAGGCAACAGGCAATAAGATTAAAAATAGACCAATCACAATATAATAGATTATTCTTGTAATAGTCGATTGTGATTGGTCTATTTTTATTCTTATTGCCTGTTGCCTGGCATTGTGTTTAGAGCTTTACGGTAACGATACCGACTTTCGTCGTGTGTAACGAGATATTGATATCGACTATGCGATTCTCTAAAGGCTGTTGCACGTGAAGAATTTAACCGTAAACGTAAGGCCGTAAGAAAACTGACCAATCTCAGTCGATTATTCCTCTAGTGCAAAGAGAACAATCGACTGTAATTGGTCAGTTTTCTTACGATCTTACGGTTGCAGTTATAGATTTTCTACATGCAAAGGCCTTTACTTATAATAGCGACACTCTGACGTTACAGAATGTGGTAACGAAACGTCGTTATTTAATGTTGTCGTTAGCGTGAAAGAAAAGAGGAAATGACGTAACATGTCAAGTTTTGGGGGAAAATTCGTAGGTTGGTATTTCATGGAAAAATTATGGATAAACCAGTTGATTTGAAACTTATGAAGATCCTGGGCCGCACAGACTCACAAGGACAATTCAGACGAGTGAAAGTAGAGTTCCTGGGCAAACAAAATCGGCAAATTATCGAAACATGAAAGGTCCGGTACGTGAAGGTGATCTCTTAACCTTGCTTGAATCTGAATTTGAGGCAAGAAGACTCTGATAACCAGGACAGCAATTTTGATTGACGTAGAAGAAATTGCCAGGTAATTTGAATTTGATAAAATTATCATCTTGAACAATACTCGAAAGATCTTAGCTGTCACTTATTATTTATTAAAAAGTTATTAACAAAAGAAGTTTTGTTTGACTGTTATTTGATTTTTCCTTTTTTAATAAAATAAATAGCAAGAAGGTTAGAGATAACTACAGCAAAGTATAAAAGTACAAGAGAGTTATGAAAATATTTTATTATTAATTGTACAAAAGACAAGAAACTTGGATGAAACCAATTGCTAGATTATCTAACTCTCTTGTACTTTGCTGTAACTACCACAAATCTCCTTATTAATTTGTGTATTTATTTTTTTATAAATATAATTTTACATAAATTAACTATAAATTAATTTAAAAGTATTATTTCATGACAGCAGCATTTTAATAAGTCTGTTCGTTTTTGCTGCACTACTGAATCGATGCTAAAAGTTACAGTGAAACAAATATAAGTTTTCTCATTCTAGTTCAGCAGCGAATTCTTTCTAGCGCATTCTAGTGCAGCGAAAACAAATAGTCCTAATAACTTGCTACAAATTGTTAATTGATCTGTTTCTTTTAACGATATTGTTGAACATGCAAATATTGATGTATTTTATTGTAATAACTTAGCGCAATGACTTCGTATCGCAGTAAGTATGCAAAATTTTAATAAAATAAATCAATTTCAGGTATAATCTATTACACATATGCTAATAATTTTTTTTTCAGACCAAATGGAACAGGGATTAAGAAGAGGCAGGCGAAAGCAACGTCAGCACAAATTGATTATATGGTGAACTATTTTGTGCAGCATCCACATGTAGCAACAAACAAATTCCAAACTCTACACGCGAACGCAGATTTAAGAGGATCATGGGAGCAATTAGTCGCTCACTTAAATACTATGGAAAGAAATGGAAAGTCAAAAGATATAACGTCATGGAAATCGGTAAATCAATAATATTTAAAATATTATGTGTAACATCCCAGTAAACACAATGTTAGATGTAACGTACATGTTGTAATTTCCTACTCAACAATATAACTGTTACATAACATATACGTCATATAACAATTATATTATTGAGTAGGAAATTACAACTAACATGTACGTTACATCTAACATTGTGTTTGCTGGCATGTAACTACGTTGGATGTATTTTCGTAATAAATGCTTTAGACATGGCGAGATAATAAAACAGCAGTTTCCCAAAAAGTTGCTAAAATCCGTGCTAATAAAGTTACGACAGGGAACATTGGTGGTCCTCCTATCACACTGACGTATCGAGAAAAAAAGATTTTAGGCCTTATAGGACTAGATTATGTGGAATGTCCTGATTCATTTCCAAAGGAACAGGTAATGAAAAAGTTTTAAATATAATTGTAACAATTTTTCTAATATAAAATATATCTAATATAGAACATTTTTATTAAAATATATTTAGAAACTTCTTATTTCATCATACTTAAAAATTTGAAATCTTTTTTTTGTTTGTGATGCACATAAAAATATTGAGTACATGTTTATTAAACAGTATTTGCTTTTTAAATGTTTATTTCAGGGAGAAGCAATGCATTTGCTTACCGCAGGGGACGAAAGAATTTTAAATGATATTCCAGAGTCATTAACATTAAGAAATAACGAGATTATAGAACATGACGTTAATTATACAGGTAACATTTTTTTTAAATACATTGTAAATATCACGATAAATTATATGAATGTGTTAATCAATATTGTTTTGAAAATGTATAAATGCAGCATCCCTTACACTTTTATTCCAGATTATGAAGTGCTACATGATATGGGAAATGTTATTGAAGAAAGGTCATCTTTCAATAATATTCAAACACACTCACAAATTCAAAATGTGGAGACTGCAGAATGTCATCGTGAAATAACAGAACCACCATCGGATATTCAAACTGATGATCCACAACGGCTCACAACTGTAACGCAAAGTTCGACCAAGAAGCGAAAAAGACCATGAATTACAAGGAGTAAGTATTGCTATTGATATATACTTATTTTTTATAACATACGAGCTCAGTTTATATACGTAATATTTTCTTTCTTTGTAAGACAGTGAACGGTTGGGTACACAACTGCACAATGCCAGAGAAGATTTTGCGATCCTAGCTGAACGCCAAATTTCATGTATGGAGGTAAGATCTATCTGTCATTCTCAGATAATTTCTTTGGAAGAAACGTATTATTAACTTAATGCTTTAAACGTACTTTTTTTTTGTTTATTTTTACAGATGTTTACAAAGGCAATGTAACAAATTGCGGACAATGAAAAAGAGCGAAATGAATGTTTACATGTCTTTATAGAAGCGGAAAGAAGTAGAGAGACAACATTCCGAATTAATAATAATAATCAAAGATTGTGTAGAAGTATTAAAAAAAATAATCTTTTACATAACTAGTCCGTATTTTGCTCAGTATTTTATTCTTTTCTTTTAGCTTACTATTATTTTTTCTTTATTACATTTATAGTTTATAGACAATAAGGGTTTTAGTTTAAGAACAATAAAGTTTTTATACTGTTTGTAGAAAGATGTTTATTTCAATAATATAAAATTTTAATATGAAAATAAAGCTTTAATATGTTTAATATTATATAAAACTATTTTATATAAAACATTATATAAGATAATGTAAAACTTTAATAATACATTTTTTTAACTTTAATATACATGTTTTTTTTTCGTTAAAATTGTTATCCCTTACGCACACACATATTTATATAAATATTTGTAATTGAGTTTAGACGATGAAACATTTACTCTGAGTCACAAAATGTTTATGGCTCCAAAAGCCATTCGGAATCAATATTCTCATTTAAAGCGTCAAACAATAGAGGATAAGTAAAAAAAAACATTTAATCATTTTCAGCACGCTCTTCATCTTGTGCATCTCGATAATTAGGAAATCTTTCTCTCACAATTTGGCGTTATATTCTTTGAACTAACGCGCGGTCCTCTTTGATGTAGATCTTCGTTATCAATGAGCCCAACATTTTCATATTCACCATTATCAGCAGCTGTTGGTGCTTCCAATTTTTCAACAGGCAAACGGTGTTGAATTCTTATATTATGTAGTATTGCACATGCATTAACTATTTTTGCAGCAAATGCTGGCTTATACATCAGCACATGCTGATAGGAAAGACATCTCCATACAGATTTGAGGACACCAAAAAAACGTCCAACAACGTTTCTTGCCTTACAGAGCTGTTGCGTATAATGAAATTGTCAGGTATCTTCAGGAAAATCGGCCAATGGTGTCATGAGCCATGGTTCCAAAGAGTATCTAGCATCGCCTGATGAAAAATATTAATATTGTTACGAATATACTGAATATTTCGGGAAATAAATAAAAGGTTAAAACTACATGAAATCTTAATTATTCAAAAACAATGAAAAAATCTTGTTTAAACCAAACGTTATTTAGTATTATACGGCCGACATGTGACGGCCGAACAAGGCGTCAATGTGAGCACACGGCTGCCACACAGAATATTCAGTATTTATAAAAATATACAAGATCTTATTACAGTTTTTATTTTCTTTTGCAAAGTTCTTCGAAGTCCTTATTTTCATAAGGACTGAAGGTTCATAAGGACTGAAGGTTCACTCACCGATCAGCCAAGTTCTCCGTTCTCCTCGATTATAATGAAATTCCATTGCTCGACGAATTGGTGATGTACTCCAGATGTATGAGTCGTTTCGTGCACCTGGATATCGTAGATTGATGTTAAGCAGCTTCATATCTGGATCAACAATCTAAAAGTATAACTAGATAATGTTACAGTTAGACAAAAGTTTTGCAGGAAAACCAAATTATGTACTTCCTAAGTGATTAAACTTACCGCTTGCACGTTCAAAGAATGGCGACCGTGATGATTAATGAACGCCTCTTCATTTTCATGAGGGGCTATAATATGAATAAAGTACAGTCTATAGCGATAGCACCTTCGAATGGGTAAGTAGCAGCGGAGAATTTTGCACGCGCTTGCTGTCGATCTTCTTCGGTCATCGGAAATTTTACCATCTACGCAGCAAGCGCCGATTAATCGCTTCAGTTACGGTATGGAGGCAACGGCTTGTTGTTGATTGGCTAACAATCCATTGGAATTGATTGCCAACGCTTCTTTGATAGCTGCCTTGCGCATAAAATTGTATGGCTATCAACACCTGTATTTAACGTTTCAAGATTATGTTTCAATATTATAAATTAAATATTATAAATTATTATAGTTTTGTTCCAATGTTACTTTTATTTCTGGCACTAAGCCAGTAAGTCGTTCATTCTGTAAATCAACCTTTAATGCAGTTGCAATGTTGATTACCAGTTCAGGAGTAAGGCGAAAATAGTCGATGAATTCATCGTGGGAGGTAAAAAGGGTTCTGAGCATCTCTTAACCGCCTTCTTGCCACACGCCGTGTTAGTCGACGCACTTTTTCAACCACTAATCCTAATTTCCACGCCAAATACTCAAGGGCCATGTCCTCTTCAAATAAATCAATTTTTAATATACATACGCTTAAATGCCAAATATGTCGATTTTATGGAAATAAAAATTCTTACGAGTATATAAATAAAAAAATCGAAAGGAGAAGAGTAAATTCATATTAACCTAATACAACGTTCAAAACATTATATAAGAATTAAGATGTAAATATACATCACTTTCTGAAAACCAATTATTATAAACAACGTCAATTTTTACTCACCGAATTCCTTAAATGTTAATTTTTCTTTTAATATATGTTTACGATGTATACACCTTGATGAAGACCTTCTTAAATGAACACACTCATCACTTCGACACTTCAGACGCTTCTAAACATTTTTAAACCAGCGGCACACGGTGCTTGTTTTCGTGCTGGATTGCTTGCTGGATGAAAATACTGCATTCTGATTGGTATATTTTCGAAGATGGATAGAAATGCACCAATCAGAATGCAATATTTTCATCCAGCAAGCAATCCAGCACGAAAACAAGCACCGTGTGCCGCTGGCTTTAACCTCTAACTTATGGTTTGTTCTTTTTAGCTGCTGAATTGGTGTAATAAGTTAGAGTGAGAAAAATGTACTTGTCTCACTCTAACTTATTACACCAGATCAGCAGTACAATTAAAATGAACAGACCACTACTGTCGTTACATGATCGTTACGCGTCACCGAGGAGTAGAGGTGCACGATTCTGCCAAAAAAAATCGATTTTTCGAAATTGATTATATTTTTTTTTAAATCAAACAATCGATTATTCGCAAAAAAATATAATCAATTCTACAGAATCGATTTAGAATTTTGAATATTATATATATATTGTTGCACTCGCGCTCTCGGAAGCAAGCTCCAGGTGAGGCGTTCGATATGTCAAAGCAGGTCCGAAAAGCTAATCGTTCCCCTGGACAACGAATAAATAACAAAGGAAAGATTCAGAGAGCAGCTGTCGTACCGAGCTGACGTGTGTGGCGAATCGGTCCGCGAAATTCTGTCGCGCAATATAGAGAAATTGTTTACGTTATCGCAAGCTTGTAAATAACGCATTAAACGCTTGGTTTTATTTTCCTAAACCTCGTGTTCGCTTCATTTGCCTGCTCTTTGGCGCGCTTATCGCAAGCAAGCGCAACAATATATATATATATATATACAACCTCTTGAGATATTTCTATGCAATAAACCTATATAGTTTTAAGCGGGGAGTACAGGGTACGTATTATGAACTTGTTCAGAATTGATTTCGATCGGAATAATTTGTTTTTATTAGAAAAGACTTTAGAAATCTAGGGAATAACTGTATTATTCCGATCGGAGTCAATTCTAAATAATTCCATAAAAACCTTCGTACTAAAATTGGCATAACCATAAACATAATATGTATACTTAAGCCAAAGAACCAATCAAAACATTGCTTTAAGATTATGTACTCTAGAAGAAAATAGAACCGGCAGTAAATCCGATCCGTAAGCAGAAGTAACTAGAATCAGTTAAATTCGAGACTAGGGATGTCAGATTGAGCTACTTGTCCAAAATTGAACCGCTTAGAAACTAGATTTGCAATAAAAGAAGGGTCTTGTACGACTCAAATTGGGCTGAGGCAGCCTAATTTGCGATAGGTCGCACAGGACCTTTTTTTATTGCAAATCTAGGGTGCGTTCCGTTTCACGCATATGCGCGCATTTTTTATAGTATACGTGACATAAACTATAGATAAATGCGCGCATATACGTGAAACGGAACGCAACCCTATTTTCTAAGGGGGAGCGCCCGTTTCGACGTGGTGCAATTCGACATCACCAATCACAAGCCGATGCATCTAGAGGTTTTCGAGTGTTGACCAATCGGCATAGCTTGTGTCGAATCGCACCGTGTCGAATCGGTACCCATCCTTTTCTAAGCAGTTCAATTTTGGACAAATACTCCAATCTGACATTCCTCTTCGGGACCGCCAATCCGACCACCAAACAGATGTAAGAGCTCACTGAGCGCGAGAAGCACACACTTTTGCATGCAGGCATAATGCACAACACATAACAAAATGAACCAATCAGAATTCTCATTTCTATTGCCACATTGGAAATGAAAGACTCTGATTGGTTCATTTACTTATGCGTTGTGCATTATACCTTTATACAAGAGTGTGTGCTTCCCGCTTTATGGAATTGCCTGTGTGCGATTTGAGATGTTATAAGTTATAAGTATCCGGCGAGTGCCACCGTGTTGAGTGGTTTAAGTTTAACTTAACAACATGTTATGTTGTTATGTTATTAATATATACAAAAATAACATGGTATATTTTCTTTTAGCCTTATATTATTATATAAATATATTATATAAAGAAATAATGTATTAATTACATGTTTTTTTCCCAAAAATTATTTTGGATTGATTGAAGAAATAAAAGCTTCGATGCTCTTTCAGATAGTAATTTACTCCGTTTTTGGGAAATAAGATTATCGGCTTTACTAAACACTCTTCCTGACGGCACCGACGTGCCTACTACTACAAAATACCCCACAAAGACATCAACGTTATATCCACATCGAATCTACGTAATTTACATGGACTATGTGGATGAACATTTATCCACGAAATATCGACGTAGATGTAACGTTCTTTTGTCATCGATAAATCGAAGCATTTCATCCTCGAAATATCAATATAGATTCTACGTAGATATTTTGAAATATTCCTGCGAAAACATACGTCGAAATAAAGAAAGATGTTCTATTTTTGTAAGTAAACGCAGAATTTGGAGTTATTTATTAAAGGAAACGGTTTTATAAATGTGTTACATCCTGCAGATTTAACTAACAAAATTGTCTTTTCCTCTCGCGGATTTATATTCTCCTAATATAACTATAATAGGAATATATACATATATAAATATAAATTAGGAAACAGACCTATTTGGCGAACAGCCGTCGCGCCAAATGAAAGGCGATTCGGGAAAATTCTATAACAGGAAACAGTGCTCTGTTGTAAAAATCTATACATCTTCGTTCAAAGTTTATATCTGGGTAGTGTTCGCCAAGTGTGTCCGTCGGCCTAGCTATAAAAATTTGAAACTCTGCGCTAACAAACCTTCAATAAAACAAAGCTACTCAGAACTGCTCTAAAACTTGAAACTTACATCTTCCCAATCCAAAACCATATGTGCCCTATCAGTCAACCAACAAAGCCTACTTCACTGATGGTTATAAACTCTTATCTCAACTCTTGATTTACGGCATTTTGATTTTTCCAGCCGGCCACTTGTATACATTTCTCTATCTCAAGAATCCACCACCTCCACGCTTGTCGCACCTAATCCATTCAGCCAATCATATCATATCCACCTAAAACTATGAGACACCCACGCTCCACCCTTTAGCCCTTCCATATTCATATCTCCAAAAACTAACCGTCTCCTCCCATGATGTCTTTTAACTTCATCCTCAATTTCTAATGGCTGAGACTTATTCCCACTAAGACTAATTCACCCCTTCCTCAAAGGCCATCTCTCTACCCACCCTGATAGCTTCTGCCTCCGATCATTGATATAAAAACCGCGGTAATCCGCCTCCGCGAATAGAAGAACATACGGAGACGAAAAAGTCGTACTCAGATTCGGACTCAGGTTTAGACTCAATTCAGATATTCAGATTTTGATAAACCGTGACTCAAGTGTGGCAAGTGCACAGTGTTTCCACGAATACTACTTTTAGTGGGGTCTCGTCAACCTTCCAAAAACAAAAAAAAAGAGAAGCAGCTGCCAGTTGGAAGTGGACAACCCGAAATTGGGACCCCACGCAGACTATTTCAACCACTCCTTTCCTTGCGTGAATCAGCAGTAAGTGGTTTTATTTACTATTCTACCCTCCCTACCTCCATTCTTACTAATTCCACTCTTGTGGAATTACGGTTTTAGTGGACCACTACCACCATTCCGTGGTATCTATCCAACAAGTCCTTCGGTTCTTTGAGACGGTGTACGGGATTAGAGATCCATACGAATTCGAACATCAATTACAATTTCTCCGTTCCCTTATAAATATTTCACTCGAAACAGACTTTCATCCAGACCCGACACTCCTACCCCCTTTTCTACTCCGACGTCTACATATTAGTCCTCCCTCGTCTCCCCCACGCGCATCCACTCCTTCTACCCCTTCAATCTCATATTCTTCCGTCTCGTTTTCTGAACTGTCCACTCCTTTAAATTCGCCATACCACTTTCGTTCCCCTTCACCTGATTAACTTCCTATTCATATTCGTTCTCTGTCCCATCCTTTTCTTCTTCCATTTCATACACACACACACACACACACATATACACTCATTCGTCTAAATATATTTATCTTAATAAATCTGTAAAAATTCAAACCGCGCCGTTATATACTATTATTAATAAATTTGCTAATTCAAACCGTACCGCTATATCATTTTGTCATCTTTATTTTAATAAATCTGTTAATAGTTAATTTCATCAATTAATTTCAAAATCACCCCACCTTCCAACAGTCAACTCATGGTCCTATCCCCGGTAAAGGGACTCGCGTCCTTGACCGAAAAACGGACCGCTCGTCGTACGTCGGTGTCCGAGTAAAGGAACCCGTCGGGTCCCTGACCCGTTCACTGGCACGCGGTTACGAACGAGGTTCGCCTTACCCCACAAAGACATCAACGTTATATCCACATCGAATGTCCATCCACGTAGTCCACGTAATTTACGTGGACTACGTGGATGGACATTTATCCATGAAATATCGACGTGGATCTAACGTTCTTTTGTCATCGATAAATCGAAGCATTTCATCCTCGAAATATCAATATAGATTCTACATAGATATTTCGAAATATTCCTATGAAAACATACGTCGAAATAAAGAAAGATGTTCTATTTTTGTAAGTAAACGCAAAATTTGGAGTTATTTATTAAAGGAAACGGTTTTATAAATGTAATATGTAATAAATATAGTATGTAGAGATATAGTCTAAATTGTATAGCCTCATTCAGTCAATGATGAGAAGTGTGACCCAGATAATAAGTTTTTATTTTATTAATAACTGAAAACTTTGCATAGTTATTTCTAATATGTATAAGACTTTTTTGTCCAGAATGATATAATCTATAAGTATGTGATTGCTCTGGAACTTTAAAAACCCTGTATAAGATTAATCAATCAAGGCATATTGTTAATCGCAATGTCACTTTTGAGAGGTAATGAAATATACGAATATTTGGATCTTCATATATATTACAGATAAGATAATTTTGTATTGTAGAAAACAATTTTATTCTATAGAAGAAAGAAACAGTGATATAGATTATAATAATTATAGAATAAAACAATATTAAAATAATTTTATATTTATTATATTTGATTTATGTTACATGGTTTTCTTTACACACA